AGAAAGTAGGTTCCTATCTGAGCTTTAACTATCCAGTGCAATGATTGGGCCTACTGTCAGAAGAAAAGCCACCAAAAATTAATTTACTCAGTGTCATTTTCTTACAAGTGTTGATTTTCAGTTTCTATCTGTTTCTAGCATTACATTTTGTTCATAGTACATAATAGTTGTTTATAGGAAGGTACTTTGTTTTTGATGTAATCTATTTAGCCAGTGTTTTGTTTTTTGTTTTGTTTTTTTGACTTGAAGTCTTACTCTATTGCCCAGGCTGGAGTGCAGAGGCATGTTCATAGCCACTGCAGTCTCTACCTGCTGGGCTTAGGCGATCCTTCTGCCTCAACCTTCCAGGTAGCTGGCACTAAAGATGAGATGCACACCACCATGCCTGGCTAATTTTTTTTGAGATTTATTGTAGAGATGAGGTCTCACCAAGTTGCCCAGGCTGCTCTTGAACCCCCTGGGAAAGTGCTGAGATTACAGGCTGAGCCACTGCCCCTGGCCTTTTTTTTTTTTTTTTTAATTGAAGTCTCAATCTGACACCCAGGCTAGAGTGCAGTGACACACTTATGGACACGGCAGCCTCGATCTGCTGGGCTCAGGCGATCCTTCCGCCTCAGCCTTCCAAGTAGCTGGAACTACTGGCACGTGTCACCATGCCTGGCTAATTTTTTGATTTTATTGTAGAGATGAGGTCTCGCCAAGTTGCCCAGGCTGGTCTTGAACCCATGGTTCAGCCAATCCTCTCACCTCTGTCTCCCAAGGTGCTGGGATTATAGGTGTGAGGCACTGCACCTGGCCTAGCCAGTGCTTTAAGAGGAACTCAGATTATGCCTTTTTAAAAACAAACAAAAAAACTTTATCATCATTTATAGAGTTTTAGGAAAGAAAGTGATGTAAATATATTTGTTCAGTATTCAAAAAAAATGAAGACTTGCTTATTTATTTATTTATTTATGGGTTGATTTTTGCCCTATCCTGGTGATTCCAATATGTGATGTAAGGTGATTCCAAGGTCGGTTTCTAATTTATTTTATGGATGTTCTAGCATTCATTACATGGTGATCATTTTCTTCACTTTTTTTTTTTTTGAATAGGGATCTTACTGTGTCACACAGGCCGGAGTGCATTGGTACCATCATGCCTCACTGTAGCCTTGATCTCCTAGGTTAGGTGATCCTCCTGCCTCAGCCTTGTGAATAGCTGGGACTATAGGTGTACACCGCTCCTGGCTAATTTTTTTGATTTTTTTGTAGAGATGAGATCTTGCTGTGGTGCCTAGGCTGGTTTTAAGCTCCTGGGCTCAAGTAGTCCTCCTGCCTCACCCTCCCAAAGTGCTGGGATTACAGATGTGAGCTACCATGTCCAGGTTCTTTACTGTTTTTTGATGCATACATGTTACATAGAAATTGTTTCTTATAATTTGATTTTTTTTTTTTTTTAGTTGGAATTTCACTCTGTTGTCCGGGGTAGAGTGTAGTGGCACGCTTATGGCCACCGCAGCTTCACCTGCTGAGCTCAGGCGATCCTACTGCCTCAGCCTTCCAAGTAGCTGGAACTACAGTACAGGCACACACCACCATGCCTGGCTAATGTTTTGATTTACTGTAGAGACAAGGTCTCGCCATGTTGCCCAGACTGGTCTCGCTCCCTGAGCTCAGATAATCCTCTCGCCTCTGCCTTCCAAAGTGCTGGGATTATAGGCGTGAGATACCATGCCTGGTTTATAATTTGAATTTATCCTGGCATTACTCTTCTACTTTTTTGACAATATTTTATTCTTTTTTTGTGTGCATATTTTAAATGATCACATCGTTGTTTTCCTTTATGATATATTGAGAGTCTGTTTCACAACATATACAAATATTTTTTTTGAAAATCTGCAATGGTGTTGAAATTTGGTTTCACAAAAGACAGTCACCTAAGACTATCACTGTTATTGACTTTAAAGAAATATATGGGGGTAAGTTATTCAAGAACCAAATACAGAGAAAAATATGTCATTTATTCTATTAAATATAGTTTCAGGGCAGGAGAGAAATATTGATATACTTAAAATTTATAAAGTATTTATTATTTAGGTATTTGTGTTTCTTTTTAGAAATTAATACCACAAACAGTGAATTTTTGTTATGAATTTAACTCTGAAATGGAAATTGTACAACTCTAGACATTATTTAATACTTAGTTAAAAATCTTTTTTAAAAAGTCTGCTCTGAAATAGAATTTGACTCATGCTATTCTCAGGCTCTAGTTTGTGCTTTTTGCACCACATTGATTCAAGGCATATTTTAAACATGGAATGTTTTCTGTTTTCTTTTAGGGACATTTTTGGACATACTTTCGTGTACTTTGTTTTTCAGAATATTCAAAATATGTTAAAAATTCTTTATTTTTTTGGTTTGTGCATGTTGGAAGTAAAACACCAGAAATGGAATTAGAAGCTCATAGAAACTAATGCATTCTATTTAGATTTTATGTGGTTATTGGACTTGGATAATCAGCCATGAAATCACCTTGGTTCAATTTAGTTCTCATTTTAATGTTTACTTCTGAACAAGTTGTCTCAGTTATCTTAGCACGGGTGCTAAGGATCAGCATTTCAATTTTGACCTTTTGATGGTTTGAATAATTTTGCATTAAAAAAAGTATATAACTTCTAAACCAGTACAACTAGAAATTTGTCCTTTAATCACAAGGATGAAAATTTGAGAGTGTGAGTAGCTTAGTACACATTTATTCAGTCATTCAACTATTATTTATTGAGCATCTATTGTGAGTTAGACTCTGTTTTAGGCACTGGGATAACAGTTAGCAAGACAGATAACACTTTTGTTCTTGACCAGGTACAGTGGCTCAAGCCTATAATCCCAGCACTTTGGGAGGCAGAGGTGAGAGGATTGCCTGAGCCCAGGTGTTCAAGTCCAGCCTGGTCAACTTGGTGAGCCCTCCTCTCTACAATAAATGAAAAAATTAGCCGGATGGGGTAGCATGTGCCTGTAGTTCCAGCTACTAGGAAGGTTGAGACAGAAGGATCATTGGAGCCCAACAGGTTGATGCTGGGGTGGCTGTGAGCATGCTACTGCACTCCAGTCTGGGTGGCGGAGTAAGGCTCCAACTCAAAAAAAAAAAAAAAAGAAAGACTTCAATTCTAGTTGAGCTCATATAGTAGTGGGGGTATTTAAATAGTTGGATAACAGATTTAGAAAACTATATAACCTATCAGATGAGCTAACATACATGTAATGAAGATAAACAAAGCAAGTTAATAAAGGTAATAGGGACTGGTGGTATGTGCATGAGGGTTTAGAAAGTGTGTGCCCAGAGTCTTCTTTGAGGAGGGGAAATTTGAGGAAACTTCAATGTTGAGAAAGAGGCCATGAAATAATCTATGAGAAGAGTGAGGCAGCGGAGGGAACTGATGTGCAGTGACCTCCATCTGAACCAAGCATAACCTTTTCTTTTTCTTTCTTCCTTTTGTTTTTGAGTTGGAGTCTCACTCTGTCACCCAGGCTGGAGTGCAGTGGCACACTCATGGCAACCCCAGCGTAGATCTACTGGGCTCCAGCAATCCTTTTGCCTCAGCCTTCCAAGTAGCCGGAACCACAGGCGAGCACTACCAAGCCTGGCTAATTTTTTGATTTATTGTAGTGATGAGGTTTCGCCAAGTTGCCTGGACTGGTCTCAAACCTGTAGACTCAGGCTATTTACTTGCCTCAGTTGCCTAGCTCAAATCTAGAAACTCTAATCTTTATGGAGGTTTGCTAGCTCTTGTCTCTGTGTAAGGATAACATGTATGAGAATGTGTTCTTTTGGGCTTTGAATCTAGATGAAAACAAGAAGAAAAATTTCATTTTTTTCTTTAGTGGATATTGAGTGCTTACTATATGTCAAGCATCATTTAGATGCTAGAATAAAACACATTTCTGCCTTCCTGGAGCTTACATACCAGAGATACTTCATTAGACTTTTAATACATAAAATATTTGAAAGATTGATACAGATAGGAATGCTAAATTCTCGATTCATTGTGGTGGGGTGGAGGAATGGTGGATAATGATGACTTTCAGAATGTCTAGAGGTGTTTGACAGAGACTTTGATGAAAGTGTGTTATAGTCCTCAGGTAGGCTGATAGAAAAACAGTTTGAATCAGTATAATATGCCCTAGAGTAAGATATTTTTTAGAAACCGAGAATGCTACATTTAATGTTTTAGCAACCAGGCAAACGTTGGTTATCACTGAGAAATAATTTTTATTCCAGAAATTATATTGAAACATTTGGAGAGTAAAATTAACTTCCGTACATTACTGGCTTTATTTGCCCTTGTGGATTCATATATCGTTAATAGAGGCATTGGTTATCTCAGGGTTTTCATTCTTTTTTGTTTTTGAGTTGGAATCTCATTCTGTTGCCTAACCTGGAGTGCAGTGGCATGCTCATGGCCACTGTGGTCTCAACCTGCTGGACTCCAGCAATCCTTCTGCCTCAGTCTTCCATGTACTGGAACTAGGCGTGTGCTACCGCGCCTGGCTAATTTATTTATTTATTGTAGAGACAAGGTCTTGGCAAATTGCTCAGACTGGTCTTGAACCCCTGGGCTCAGGCAATCCTCTTGCTTTGGCCTCCCATAGTGCTGGGATTACAGACTTGAGCCACCGTGCTTGTCAGTTTTCATTCTTGTAGATTTAATATTTTGTAGCTTTTCTTCTATGTTGCCCTGTTTTCCTGTCTCTTTATGAAGTGATAATGATCTAATGGGCCTCTAATTGCTATGACCTTTTATTCTAGACTTTAATTATGTTTGGATAAGAGAGAATTTTTTTTTTCTTTCTTAAGATAAAATCTTTGCATTAAATATTAAATTTGCATTAAACATGAGAGACATTTAAAAAGCCTAGTTATTAAAAGGAGAGGCAAGGTGTCCTGAGATATCAATACTACCTCCAGAGTGTATTCTTTATTGCAGCAGAGGCAAAGAGTTTCTGTTTCTGTATTTTCAGGGATACAAGCAGCAGTGAAAGTGAAGAGAGTTCTGAATCTTCTGATGATGAGTTAATTGGCCCTCCTTTGCCCCCTAAAATGGTAGAAGAACAAGCTGATCTTATGGAAGAAGACATCATTGGTCCTTTACCTCCACCTCTTGATGAGGAAGAAGACGAAGTAGAGGAAGACGAGGAAGAGGAAGAGGAGGAAGTAAGTATTTCAGTGGTAATTTAAGAATTCAGCAAAATAGGATCTTTAAAGTAGTGTGGAGACAGTTTCCTACTAAACTATTAATCATGAGTAAGATTAAAAATGTAGCTGGGCACGGTGGCTCACACCCATAATCCCAGCTTTTTGGGAGGCCAAGGTGAGAGGATTGCCTGAGCCTGCTGGTTGGAGACTAGCCTGGGCAACTTGGTGAGATCTCAACTCTACAACAAATCAAAAAATTAACCGGGCATGGTGGCATGTGCCTGTAGTTCCAGCTGCTTGGAAGGCTGAGGCAGTAGAAATGCCTGAGTCCAGCAGGTCAAGGCTGTGGTGGCCGGGAGTGGCCACTGTACTCCAGTCTGGGTGACAGAGTGAGACTCCAACTCAAAAAAAAAAAAAAAAAAAGATAAAAAATTCATGAGTGATTAAAAAAATGAAAAAAAGCCGGGCTCGGTGGCTTAGCCTGTAATCCCGCACCTTTGGGAGGCTGAGGTGAATGGATTGCCTGAGTCCGCGGGTTCGAGACCCGCTTGGGCAGTGAGACCTCATCTCTACAATAAATAAAAAAAAAATCAGCCGGGCGTGGTAGCGCATGCCTGTAATTCTGGCTACTGGGAAGGCTGAGGCGGAAGGATTGCCAGAGCCCAGCAGGCGAGGCTGTAGTGGCTGGGAGCGGCCACTGCACTTCAGTCTGGGCAACCGAGTGAGACTCCAACTCAAAAAAAAAAAAAAGAAAAAAAAATCTTGAGTTTATTACTGACAGCCTTTACTGAAAGAACTTTAGAAGGAAAGAAACAACTAAAAAATAATAAATGGATGGTTGGGTGTGGTGGCTCAGCCTGTAATCCCTGTTCTTTGGGAGGCTGAGGCGAGAGGATCTCCTGAGCCCGGGTATTCGAGACCAGCCTGGGCAACTTGCTGAGACCTCATCTCTACAATTAATCACAAAAACTAGCCGGGCATGGTGGTGTGTGTCTGTAGTTGCAGCTGCTTGGAAGGCTGAGGCAGAAGGATTGCCTAAGCCCAGCAGGTCGAGACTGCGGTTGCTGTTAGCATGCCACAGCACTCTAGCCTGGGCAACAAGAGTGGGATTCTAAGTAAATATAAATAAATAAAAAAAAATAAATGGAGAGCAGGAACTAATATGTTAAAAATAAATTAATAAGATATTTAGGTAATCTTCATGTGCTTTGACTGTAAATAATAATGATAAATAAATGTGGGAGATTTAAAAACATTGTAGATCTAAGATTATCATCAACCATAAAGTAGAAGATGAGAAAGTGGAGTCAAATTTCATTCATTTTGAGATATTATTTGGAGGAGGCTAGAGATATTAGTTAACTTTAGATTAGTTTAAACCAAGTATGCAAGTTACAGTTTTATTAGTAATTGCCCAAATAATAGAAATAAAATGTATAACCTCTAAAATAGAACAAGGGCGTCAACAAGGGTATCTGCATAGTGAATATTTGTATACATAACCCTGAATTGTACCCCACACCTTTAAAATACATTAAATTAAATTAAATCAAAAAATGGAATATATCTCACCTTGTAAAATAAATAAATAAAAATAAAATAAAATAGTACAAGGACAAAATGATAAAGAAAACTAATGGTGGCTGGATATAGTGGCTCATACCTGAAGTCTCAGCACTTTGTTTTTTTTTTGAGTTGGAGTCTCACTCTGTCACCCATGCTGGAGTGCAATGGCACACTCATGGCCACCGAAGCCTTTATCTGCTGGGCTCAGGTGATCCTTCCACCTCAGTCTTCCAAGTAACTGGAACTACAGGCACCCACTACCATGCTCAGTTAATTTTTTGTAGAGATGAGGTCTTACCAAGTTGCCCAGGCTGGTCTGGGACCCCCGGGCTCAAACAATCCTCTTGCCTCAACCTCCTAAAGTGCTGGGATTACAGGTCTCAGCACTATAATAGGCTGAGGAGGGAGGATTACTTGAGGCAAGGAGTTTGAGACTAGTCTGGGCAGGATAGTGAGACCCTTCCTCTACAAAAAAATTAAACAGTGAACTCAGTGTGAGGGTGCTTGTCTGTAATCCCAGCGGCTCAGGAGGCTGAGGTGAGAAGATTGCTTGAGTTCAAGTGTTTTAGTTATGAGCCACTGCACTCCAGCCCGGGTGACAGAGTGAGTCCCTGTCTCTAAAACAGCAAAAACAACAAAAAGCAAAGGATGTCCTTTGTGTTATTTGACACCAGGAGTAGATAATGTTTTAACACTTTTCTTCATTGTTTGATGAACTTTTTTTTAGTAATAATTATGAAATGAAAAATAATGGTGAGAAAAGAAAAAACAGTTTTTGTAAATCTGTCCATGACTGTCAAAATACTTTTTGACAGTATTCTTTGTGTATTCATGCATTATAAGTAGAACAAATTTGTTAGTCTATGTTTGTCTATAGTTGATCAAATAAAGTTTTAATTTAAATTTTGTAAATTTATTAGCTGGATATGGTGGTGCATGCCTGTAGTTTCAGCTACTTGGAAGGCTGAGGTGGAAGGATCACCTGAGCCCAGTAGGTCGAGGCTGCGATGGCCACGAGTGTGCCACTGTAGTCCAGCCTGGCTGACAGTGAGACTCCAACTAAAATAATGAATAAGTAAATAAATTTTGTAAATTTGTCTTTCACAGGAAACAACAGATATATCTCTCTATATGTACAGGGTGTGTCAAAATATGTATTCACATTTTAAGGGATGTTATTTATGTATTATTTTTCAAAGTTGAGTTGAGTTACCATAATGATGTGCAGTGTAACATTTGCTCAACCATGCTTCTGCCATTTTCTTTGACTGTTTAGTCGGTCCCATGGTGACACTAGCATTCATTTGATTAATGCCATCTTTTGACTAAACATCATATTTAAAATGTGTATAAATTTTTCTGGCACCTCACGTATGTGTATATATACACATGTGCACTCATACATGTATGTACATATGTAAAATTAGGAAATAAAAACTTAAAATAAGAAAATAAATATGGCAGTTTCATTAAAATTTTTGTTTTATAATAAATTCTAGACATTGCCATGTTAACTGTATCTTTTTTCCTTTCATATAAATTCTAGTGTTTTTTAAATATTCTGTAATTGAAATACCTTCACTAAAACCTCTTTACCAGAAAATTTATTGTTTTCTATTATATTTGGCAAAAACACTGAAAGTTTTCTTCTGTAAAAATCAGAGAAATTGACTAGATGATGACAAACATTGTCATTAAATGATCCATTGCTTTAGAATGTTTTTGGTAAAAACAATTGAGGCATTCAAACATTGTCCTTTTCTGTGGTCACTCATGCCTATAATCATAGCAATTTGGGAGACTGAGGCGGGAGCATTGCTTGAGCCCAGGAGTTTGGAACCAACCTAGGCAACATTGGGAGACGTCACTACAAAAAAACTCAACGAAATTTAGCTGGGTGTGATGGCACACGACTGTAGTCCCAGCAATTTGGGAGGCTGAGGTGGAAGGATCGCCTGAGTGTAGGAGGTCGAGACTTGAGTGAGCCATGATTGTGCCACTGCACTCCAGCCTGGGTGACAGAGTGAGACCCTGACTCAAAAATAAACGAATGAACAAACAAAGTTGCCCTTTTAAATTCTTTTGCCAGCCTAGTTTACTGTCTTGTTTTTTCTTCTGGCATTCATAGAAAACAAAATTGAATTTACTCATGTTTTGTTTTTTGTCTTTATAATTATTTTTTATTGTGAATCTACTGTTTAAATGCAGAATCATGTTTGGAAATACGAAATTGCCCTTGAAGTAAGCTTACAAAATTATGAACTGTTAAAAACATTATCTGGAAACCCCTGTAGCTGATCATGTTTGTGCATGTCTGTGATGCAGACTGTATAACTTGGAGTTCTCCACATTAACTTCATGTGGAATACAATGTTTATTAAAAGATAAGTAATAAAAATGTGTAACTTGAAGGTTTCATATACATTATTAAAACTCAACAGTAACCATAGCAATAAAACAAAAATAGTGTCTGAACTGACATTTAGAATTTACATCCCAAATTGATAATAAAAAGCAGACTTATCTTTAGCTGATTTTATTATTGTATAATTAAATTCTTTACAGAAAATGTACCCTCTTACTGTTTTTATTACTGCCACTGTAATTCTCTTGATATACCATTGAAGAAAATTTAGTCATTCCAAAAAAAAGAAAGGAAAGAAGAAAAAAGAAGTAGAGGAAAATAATAATTTTGGTAAATATATATTATAAAATAAAATGGTAGGCATGAATACAAATGTATCAGTATTGGCGATAGATGTATGAGGGGGGACCCTAAAAAACCTTGAATTTATTTCTAGAAATTGTGTATTTATTCTTACATGTTTAAACTTCAGTCATCTTCAGAGTACTCTCTGATGTAATAGGCCTATCAAGAAACTTTTTCCACTGCTGAAAACAATTCTAGTATTTGTCAGTTTTGATGACTTTTAGTGCTTCTACCATTTTTGTTTCACCTCTTTCACATCAGGGAAACTCTTCCCTTTGAGGAATTTTTTTTTCATCCTGAGAAACAACAACAAAAGAATTGCTTGGGAGGAGGTCAGGGCAGAGGGGTCATGCCATTTTTTGGTCAAAAACTGCTGAACCCTCAGGGTGGTGTGGACAGGTTGTTCCTGTAAATTACTCATCATGAAATGGGTAAACAAGTTGAAAGAATCTCCAAACAAAAACTCACTTAAATCTAGTGCAAACTCTTATAACATTGCTAGCTGATACATTAATGCTGATGGTTTCTTAGAACACTTACCTAGCAGGGGAAGCCTGTACTACTGGGGGCCCACCCTTCAAAAACATAATTCTGGGATTTTTGGGTCCCTCCTTACAAATGGACGAAAGACAAAAATTCTCAGATTGAATTTAAAAAATTCAGGTTTATTCTGTTTATGAGTGATAATCTAAAATGTAATTATACAGAAAGTTTTTTTTTTTTTACTTTTTGTTTTTGTTTT